CAATACTGATTGTGGCACTTGGTCAATTTGTGGCACCTGCTGTGTGGCATAAACTACTCCGCTTTAGCCTACCCCCAAATAAAGCAAATACTGTCACACAACTTTCTTTCTTCCGAGTGTATCCCGGATTCTTCCTCATCTTTCACGAAACACTCTTTTGCCTTAATACGTCGGAGATGTCTTCAAATTCGATTCCGGGAGTAACAGTTCTTGCTCCAGTCACCGGACCGCAAGAACAAATTCTTTCGCGCGAGGCTCTGGAATTCCTCGCTAAACTTCACAGAGCGTTTAACCATACACGCAAGACTCTGTTGCAGCGCAGGATTTTGAGGCAACAGGAATTGGATAGAGGAGTGTTGCCCGACTTTTTACCCGAGACTGCACATATCAGAGAGAATGATACATGGCGTGGTGCATCGCTTGCTCCAGGATTGGTTGATAGACGCGTGGAGATAACTGGTCCCGTTGACAGAAAGATGGTCATCAATGCCTTGAATTCGGGCGCCTATACTTATATGGCTGATTTTGAGGGTAAAGATCGGAGATTTTCATCCTTTTTTACCGAAATTACTGTAGATGTGTATGCTATATACAATGTCATGAACGGACAACCCTATTAAACAAAACTTTGCTTCAATTGAATAGATTCGAATGCACCTACATGGGAGAACAATTTGGATGGCCAAGTAAATTTGCGTGATGCTAATCTTCGTACCATATCCTACACTAATCCTGGCAATGGGAAGAAATACTCATTGCGCACGGATGGTAAACTTGCTACGCTCATTGTACGGTGAATATCTAAAGAACGTCCTGATGTCAACATTGTTTGCGTTGTTGTGCTTTTGTTGTTTCCATTTACCCGCTAACTATATCCCTCTAACCTTACAGACCTCGTGGATGGCATCTTAACGAAGCACACGTTTTGATTGACGGCGAACCAATTTCTGGTTCTATATTCGACTTTGGTTTGTACTTTTTCCATAATGCCAAGAGGACAATTGAGATTGGCATTGGACCATACTTCTATCTGCCAAAGATGGAATCTCATTTGGAAGCAAGGTATTATTAAGTGCAACTAAATAGTTAATGAGAATGACTGTTTCAGTCTTATTTCCATGACCTAACGTATATCTTATACAACAATCGTTTTTCAACTTTTGTTCAGACTATGGAATGACGTCTTCAATGTCTCTCAAGATCTCCTTAATATCCCACGTGGTACTATCCGTGCGACAGTGCTTATCGAAACGATTCTTGCTGCGTTTGAAATGGATGAGATCATTTACGAACTGCGCGAACACTCCTCTGGTCTCAATTGTGGTAGATGGGACTACATATTTTCTGTTATTAAGAAATTCCGTCATAATCCCAACTTTATCCTTCCTAACCGGGCTGATGTTTCGATGACTGTTCCATTTATGGATGCCTACGTGAGATTACTGATCAAGACATGCCACAGACGTGGAGTGCATGCGATGGGTGGTATGGCTGCGCAGATTCCGATTAAAAATGATCCAAATGCTAACAAGATTGCTCTCGACAAAGTGCGTGCCGACAAATTGCGTGAAGTTAAGGCCGGTCATGATGGAACTTGGGTCGCACATCCTGATTTGGTCAAAGTGGCATTGGAAGTGTTCAATGAGAATTTGAAGACTCCTAACCAGATCTATGTACGTCGAGATGACGTGAACGTATCCGCACTTGACATACTTAACATGAACGTCCCAGGTTCCATCACCGAAACCGGTATTCGCAACAATGTCTCTGTTGGACTTACATACATCGAGTCTTGGCTACGTGGTCTTGGGTGTGTTCCAATTCATAATCTCATGGAGGATGCTGCCACGGCCGAGATTTCTCGTTCACAGCTTTGGCAATGGGTCAAACACCGTTCTCGTACTGCGGATGGTAAAACTGTAACTCCCGAATACCTCATCAAGCTTCTTGACGAGGAAGTTGGTAAGATTGAGAAGCAGCTGGGAGCTCAGCGGTTTGGTCAGACGAAATATACTCTCGCCAAACGATACCTTGCGAGTCAGATTACTGGAAAGGAATATGCCGAGTTTATTACTACACTGTTATATCCAGAGATTACGGGTGTTCATCAGAAGGCCAAGATCTAAAGTATAGCTTCGAATCAAATGCATGTCTGCTTAAATCTTGTGTAGTTGTTTGAACATTTCGATGCCGATGATATCTATTTTTTGTAAGAGTATGTTAAGACAATTGTGAAAAATTTTGGTCGTTGTGTCTGTACTTCCGGATATTATCTCTCTTTTGTTTTTAAATAAAAATCCATAAAACATTTGAATTAATATCCATTTTCAACATCCATTCCCAGTTTATTATTGATATAGAGTACGCAGTGTATACGTTACACACAATGACAATTAAGGTTTAGACGGTTTCCCTATCGCATCACAATGTCATTGTTGTGTAGATTATCGGCAGAATGCCCCCACTGCACAAGCTGCAACAGAGGTTCCAGGGTTTAAACAAGTTGAGAGCTGCAAACAATATTACAATTTTTAAGATGTGACTTTTTTTTATTTGTCATGATTCAACTTGCAGAAGACGGGTAAAGGGGTATCGACATTTTCAACTTGATAGCATTCTCAAAAATTTGATCAAGAAAAATGTTATTAGTATTAGGTTCAATCATCACATGATAAAATTGTAGATCCTGAGCAAAGTGAAAGTAGAGCCTGGATGACAATTTATGTTATAACATATTTAATATTGTCAAATTCGGAATTGGGATATGTATTTTTATTTGTCGAGAATGCAAGATCGCGTTGGTAGATGTCAAATTAATATTAACACATGCCCTATTTATCAGTGTTTCGTACTGACGTTCTAGCTGAATTCCATAAAATAAACAACAGAGAAATAATTCATCAGTTTCTTGCAAAAATAACAGGCGGTCACAGAAACGATGGGGTAAATAAAAACCGTGAATTCTGCGGTGTTATCACTTTGTCAGATTTTTATCACAATTGTTTATAGTTAGTCAATTTTTGGCGCTATATAATTGTTCAGATTGCTGGATCTGTAATCTATATGTAGAAATGATCAAGAAATTGGCAAAGTAAAACATAGGAAATTTTGTGGTAAGACTCTAAAAGAGGCGTAAAATAGACGAAAAAACCCAGCACACTTATTCCAATTGAAGCTCCTTCTCGAAACACGAAATTGCTGAGCAGGTGCATTTGTCCTAGTAGTCTAACATTGAATGCCTACGACCAATTATACGATTTGCATCTTTTGTTATTATACCTTTGAGCATACATTCCAAGAACGCCATTTCTGCCCAATCATCTCATTAAAAGGAAACAAAATAGCGGACATTTTCAGTCACAGATGTAATTGTAATTACTTTCTGTGGAAAGGAGGAATTATATCTGATAGCAAATTTCATGAGTAAAAAACGAAAACATTCTGCCACAGTCTCTATTGACAATCCTATTCCTACCTTTGCTGGCTCAACGTCGTGTGCTCACATATTCTCTCTTGTACGAACATGTTACGTTGAAATCCGCGAGCGTAACAACGACTGAATAAACTTTCGAAGCAAAATAATGCAGCAAACTTGGAACATATGTTTTCATTCGGCTTGCCAAGTTCAAAGCTATGAACATAATTATGCTTGTTGATTTTTGGAATTCATATGTGTGTATGCTTGTTCTTTACATTGGCCTTGGTCATAGTAAACTCTACAATGGTTTGCTGAATAATATTACTTATGCTCGTAACTGCTTCAGTAACAAATTTACTAAACAAAGTAAGAACGACTGGAGATTGCATTCTGCAACCGTAAAGAACTGGTATCATGGTTACCATATCGTAATACTGAATAAACAAAAAACCCCACCTTTTATGTTTTCATCATGTGATAACATACACCAATTAAATTAACAATCTTTTCAATCAGTAATCGTGAACTATTCCAAATTATTACCGCAACTCAAGCCACACGTACACCATAAGGGGTTTATTTCATATACAAATGAGTCTTTCAACTTAACTTTGATCAACTTGACATAATACTCACCTTTATTCACAATACGTACTCTCAGCCGGTCTCACTCTACAAACAACCGTGATATATTGAATATCCACAACCTGCTTTAAACTTTGGTTTACATCCACCTCACATACTCACCAGCTGACCTTCGCATTTCAATTAATACCTTCACACTCCACTCCATTCGTTATTCTTTCGAAAAAAAATAGTTAGTCAATATGATTAAGACAGAGTACTATTCCGATGAAGAAGAGTTTGTGTGTCCTCTCTGTATGGAAGAGATGGATCTATCTGACAGGAATTTCAGGCCGTGCCCTTGCGGATATCAGGTGGGATGTCTATATATCAGAAAGCGGTTATTATAGTTGTAGTCATGCCCGAATAGTAGTACCTCATAGTTTCTGAATATCGAAAATGGCTTTACAAGAACTGTAGAAAATTCTCTCGACATTCTCTTTGACACAATTGACTTGCTAAAAGTTTATACATATACAATCCTAACTCTATTTTGTACAATGCATGATGTATTGTAATTTCTTCCTGTAATTTAGATTTGCCAATTCTGTTGGCATCACATTAAAGAAAATATGAATTCACGATGTCCTGCTTGCCGAAGGGTTTATTCTGAGCAGACGATTGAGTTTACGCCTATTTCAAATGAAGAGTATGTCTCGTTCTAATTTTTCTGTTTATTGGGAATATTCTGCCTTTGAGATATCCGTAGTCTTCTCAATGGGTTGGTTGTGACATTGAACAACTACAAGTTCTAAAGTTTTTGATATTTCGGTTATTCCTGCCAACGGTTCTTTATTAGATAGCATCTAAACGAGCTAATTGAGGTCAATGCTATGCCTTACCGATCTAATTTAATCCATTTTCCCCCCTTATTCGTAACGTATGGCTGTTAATCACCGAATGATGTAATATATCCAATAGGTTAGCCAGAATCAAACTTGAAAAGAGACAGAAGGAACGAGAAAAAAAGGAGCTTGAAGCGATGAATAGGAAACATCTAGCCAACATGAGAGTAGTGCAGAAGAATCTTGTATACGTAATAGGGCTAAGTCCAAAGATCGCAACAGAGGAGGTATGCGATCACTCAGATGAATACAAGACAATGAAGTATGAATAGAAGAGGGATATAGCAACATAACGAAGATGCAATTCAATATTTCCGTTTTATCAATATTGTGAAAATATTGTCATATTATCAGTATTAGCATATATAGATATGTGTAGTAGATTAGCGATACGTTTCCGAAATCACCTTTACCCATTCTTCTTCCCGCTCTTACTCACCTGCTTTTCGTTGCTAATGTGAAAGATATTGCGATCACACGATTACTTTGGTCAGTATGGCAGGATTGCTAAGATTGTCGTTAATCGACGTAATACAACATCATCTAGCACTCCTGGCGTTCCAGCAACACAACCAAGTGTTGGCGTCTACATTACGTACCATCGGAAGGAAGATGCGGCAAAGGCAATAGCTGCTGTAGACGGTAGCATGTCCGATGGGAAAGTGCTAAGGTTTGTCAATGTATTATCAATATTGTCAATGTGTTTTAAATATAATAAATAAATCAAATCTTCTTGTGTTTAATTAGAGCATCGTACGGTACCACCAAATACTGTACAAACTATCTACAAAATACAAAATGCCAGAATCCTACATGTATGTATTTACATGAACCAGGAGAAGAGGCTGACAGTTATACAAAGGAAGATCTGGCTTCAGTGTAAGACATCTAAATGATACTGTTATCATATCGAAAAATTGTGGTTTATTTTTGGTTTATAGTATGTTTGTGCTCTTGACTGAGTTATTTGTATTCAATTCGTGGAGTAGAAAGTATCATTTGAAGGATCACGTGAATGACAAAGATGCTCCCTCGAAGGGACATGCCATTGGCAAAGTTGTATCTGCACCTTCCTCTTCATTCCATGTAAAGAAAGAGCCACCTCATCGAGTATTCGGACCAGATCACGATAAGACTAATCATGATGACAAAGATGAAGGCAAGTTAACGACTAAAATAGGACGATCATTTAACAACCGATGTGTTACTGTTGTCTTGTTAACCCTTACTTATTTCCGATTTCCGTAATCAGCCTCAGCGCTACCGCCGACAGCCTCATGGGCCACAAATTCGAATAAACCGTCAAGTGTTGAAAATACTCCAGTACTCAATAAATACTCTATGTCTACGTCTACGCCTAATTCACAGTCACAACCATCCACTCCTCACAATTCTCAACACCCTCCATTTTCACAACCACCACACTCACCACCCTCAACACAACCTTACCAGAGACCAAAACGAG